AATCAACGTGGATGAGGAAATGAGAGCGACTGTGTCCCAGCTCGTGGTTTGAGAAGCTACGCAGAGAAGCGCCCAGCAGGCAAAGTAGCTGTGGCTACTTGCCAGTCATCACAGCAGCTGCTGAAGTACCGGTTTCACAAAGATAGGACACCATTAAAATCCGCGGGGCACGGTCTAACGTTGAAACTCTAAATGACTACCTTAAGCTGATAGTTCAGGCAATGCCTACAAGATGTTGATTACTGTGGCTGGTGGGCCTGTGGAATTTTAAACTCTCCCAGGGCAACTCTGCGAGCTGGCTGCAGCACCCAGTGCCCCGACACACAGTCTGGGAAGGGCAACCGTAAGATCCAATGTGGGATCGCAGTCCAAGACAGAGCAGAGGGAACCGGGCAGGTAAAATGGTTAAAGAAACTGTGGCTGAAAATTCCACCAATTTGATGAAAGCTGATAAAAGGCCTTGAGTGACTGGGTCAGCCTAACGTCCTAAGTTAAAAGAAAATCACCACATTCAGCACCCAATACTGTGACCGTGTGTTTACTACTTAGAAAGACAGGCTTCATCTACTGTGTTCACTTTTTCTTCCTCCTGTTTCTGGTGTCAAATGCAGGAAGATAAGACTGCTCGCTACTTGGGAGAAAGGGCCAGGTGGGCCAGAGGAAAAGCATCACACAACAAGCCAGCTGTTTTGAAGGGAGCATCATTGAGGGTTCAAAACTGTCTAGCCCAGACCACCAGAGCAGCAGGCAAAATGCAGGGTAGGAGACCTACTAAGAAAAACACAAAACAAAACAATAAGTGTGTTGCCTGGAGTGGCCTCAATTCTTCGCAAACTCCCCCTCTGCCAGCATCTGCGGAAGGAGCGAGGGAGATGACATACCCACAGCAATGCTTTTAGGAGGCACAGCCCAGGACAGACTGAAAGCAGAGAAACTTCCCTATGTCCAAAGTGAAAAAAACAAGTAAGTTTAGTTCTCTCACTTGAAACTGAGATGAAGGGGTTTTATTAAAACACTTATTGCTTCTCAATGCAAGATTTAATTTTGGATTGCTTACATATTTTAGCAGAAAGGTATCCTGAAGTGATAACAGTGGGAAACATTCATGAAGAGTCCAGCAATAACTTGTTCCACTGTGAAATTCCAAAGTGGTGACATCCATGTGACGATTCCCACAAAGCTAATCCCCTAGTAAATTCAGTCATATGTGAGACAAGAACTACATTCACAAAACACATTGTAAGTGGTCAACACTTGATCAGCAAGAGCCTAAAGGATGTGTTGTTGTACTGCAGTCACGCAACAATTACTAACTGAGCGGCTACTATATGCCAAGCACCAGGGAGCTGCTCAAGGGCACTTATGGGTTTACATTATAATGAGGAGTAATAATCAGTGAAAAAGTGAACAAATAAGAAAGGTAAATTGAGTTTGATAACTGCTACTAAGTAACCACGATAGCGTGTGGTCGAGCAGCTCCGGGGCTAGGGCCTTCAACAAGGCCAAGAGCAGAGGCTTCTATGACAGGTGCTTGAACACGCTGGGAAGGCAATGCTGAGGGCGTGGCTAGACACAGGAGACCCAGCACTCTGGGGAGAAGGAAGGGTGAACAGAAAGGACCCCGGGAAAGAAATGGGCTTGGTCTCTTTAAGGAACAGAACGAGACCAGTCTGGCTGGAGTGCAGAAAATGGCAAGGAGGAGTGAGATCCAGGCAGAAAGCCGGAGAGTGCCAGATGATGGAGGTGCAGGTCAGGAAGTCTGGCTTTTCTTCTAGCTGCAAAGGAAGCCACTGAAGGATTTTAAAGCAGGGAGAAGATAAATCTAATATAATTTTCAAAGGCCTTTAACACAGTGAACGAAAACTGGAAGAGTAGTGTAGATAGATTAGGAAGGATGGAAGAGGTGATTAAAGAAAAACAGACTTAAGACCTATTTTAGAGGTAAAATCAAAATGACTTCCTGAGGGCCTGGGTGTAGTGACGACTTACGACTCTCCAGGGGAGATTCTCTCACACGTCTCAGGGCTAGAAAGTGCCAGGCTTCAATGAGGAGGTTTGTCTTTTGTTTTGTGTTGTTACTGCTTTTAGACACTCAGACACTGTGAACTCTATAACCATATTTTCCTCAGCTTTGGCCACTAGGAAGCTCAAAGCATCATGTGAAGACCAACCCCACCAACTCTACAGAATAACACGTGCTTTCTGCATACTCACCTTACCCCTGGGGCTTTTTGTGACTTTCTATCTTAATTTCCACATCAATTTATTTTATTCTGTTAGATGGACATATTAGTCTGGCAAGTTACTATATGTGATTTGATGAGAAAAAGTAGTAAATAAATATAAAAGTCTTTTCATCCTAGCTTGTGTTAAAAGCGTTATCATGTGCTATAATGAAAATATAATAAATGTGTCAGAATGTAAGTTCTATGGGAGAACTGCAGTGAGAGAACAGATGAAAGAAAAACTACGGATGAAAACACAAGGGGAGGATCAGAGAGGGAGAGGTGTGGGTTATGGACCCAGACTGCTGCCTGTGTGCCAACCAGACTCTACCAAGCACTAGCTGTGCGACCTTGGGCAAGTCACTGACTCCTCTGGCCTCATTTTCCTCATCTGTAAACTGGCAACGTTACCAGAACAGTGCCCACCTCACAGGGTTGTTACAGGGCTTAACCTAGCTGATAGGTATCGTGCCTAAAAAAGTTCTCTATCAATAGGTGCAACATAAGTGTTTGTTAAAATAAGTTTCAGTTTGGGATGTAAAGATACATACGATTTAAACAGGTGAGAGGGGCAGAATTGTAGACAGAGGAACATGCGAACAAAGGTACGGACGGGTGCAAGCACAAACTTTATGAAACAGTTTCCAGCCTGGGGTTAAGCACACAGGAATACGACAAAGGAATCTATAAAGACTAAAGGGGGAGAGGTTTTAAGAAAAAATACAGAAGGGCTTTGAATGCCTCTTGTAGGAATATGAACTTTATACTGCTAAAAATAGAGCACTTGAAAGATTTGGTACCAAGGGAGCCCACAATCCTATGGAGGAAAGACAGTGGGGTGTGTGTGAGGCACTCTGCCCAGTGCCTGGACCAGGTGCTCCTCAGACACGTGGTGACCCTAAGTACACAAACAGAGATGTTTACTCTAGCACTAAACTAGCCATTACTCTACTACAAATAAAAACAAGGCCTGAAAGGTGAGCTTCACAATAATTCTATCAGAGAACAGTAACCATCAAGACAACGGAAAAGCTTTAAATGGCAATGTTTATGCTGTGAGGAAGAGGAGGAATTCATCTGGGCAGATGGAGGTGTTTCTCCACATACCATACTCCAAAAAATGAAGAGCTTCTGCCTTCTTTATCTGTTCATAACATAACAGTTTCAACTTAATTTACAACCTGACAACTAAGTTAGAAATTATCTTCGGTAAAAATGGCAGATCTGGTTTGAGGAACACAGCATCCCCGAAACAACAGCACTGGGTGTGCTCGATTCTCTACGCTCTCCGTCCAAAGGACACGCATCCTGTGAAGCGGCCTTATTAGGAAGAGGGCCACTGCAGATGTGCTCACTAGGTTAAGAATCTTGAGATGGAGAGATTACCTTGGATTATCCCGGTGGTCCCTAAATACAATCACACATACCCTCGTAAGAGGAAGGCAAACAGAGATCAGAGCTGGACAGAAGAGGAGAAAGCAACATGAAGACAGACGGAGAGATGAGAGTGATACGGCCATATGGTCAGGGCAGGCCTTCAGGCACCAGAAGCTGGAAAGGACAGGAAAGGATTCTTTCCAAGAGCGTCTGGGGGAGCACTCTAACACCTTGATCTTGGTCTAGTAACACTGAGTTCAGACATGGAGCCTCCAGAACCACGATAAACTGTTCTTTCTTAAAGCCCTCAAATTCAGGGTAATTCATCACAGCAGCCACAGGAAACTAATACAGCAGGTGAGTAATTGCTTATTATGTTCTCAAGTAAATTTAAGCGTAGAAGAAGTGGAAATGAAAGAGATTCACCATTTACTGATCACCTACATAAATTACTTTATTAAATCATCAACAGCAATTCTATCACTATTAGCTCTTTTTCATAGAGAAAACCCACCTGCATCACACCCAGATCTATGTTTATTTTATACTGCAGTAACACCTGTTTCCAACTGCTCTGATGCTGCACTGATCAGCCACACTGAAGAGGGGAACTGACTTTTTATCCTTCTAAATAAACTTGGGGATATACAAAAAGTGCTATTTTAAATTATTTCATGCAAAATTCTAACTGAAAAGATATATGTAGTCACCAGTGAAAAATTTGTGTTACTTCTTTCCACTGAGTTCTTTTGGGGACAAAGACTAAAAAACTAAAAATAATTCTCAAACAGATTTGAGATAGTCATATGTATTTTGTCAATTTATGATCTGCTTAAATTGATTTATGAATTCATTAAAATAGTTTTCATATTAAAAGTAGTCATCATCCAAAGACAAAAATAAAAATTCTGCATGCCTGGTCAAGCTCAGGATTTTTAAGATACCACAGAGCATTTAGGGTGACTGAAATGACAAGAGGTATTTGGACACCCACTTGGTGCCTGACACTGTGCTGGACACTGGAGATGTGGTGATGAACTCGCCTGAGGCTGTGCTCAAGGGGAAAACACAGTTCCACTCTCTCACTTTGCATATCAACACGATTATCTACATAAAATAAGCCTCATTTTATATAATTAAGGAATTAATGTTAGAGTGATCGAATGAACTTATCTCAAGTCAGCAGCTAGCAAGTGGTACAGGTTACACTTAAGCCCAGGAACATCTCAGTCTAAAGTGAATCCCCTTAATATGACATCATATTGTCTGAATATATTCTTATAGGCTTTGTACTGATACACCGACAGAGCCGTTTGACTATTAATAAAGGAAACATTAAAATTATTGCCATGGTACCCTACTCTAACAACAAAAAATAAATCAATTAATTACACCTACCTGGTTATTGCTGGGGTTGGTACGCCTCTAGTACGCAAAGTGGATTTCCCTCGAACAACTGGTACATCTGCGTTTTCTGAGCCACCATTCAAATATGTTAATTCCTGGAGCTGCGCTTGCCTGATCTCATCATTATAGTCCTACATGGGAGACAGAAGAGAGCATAATTCACCTCATCCGAGAAATACAAAAGTATTTTTTAATAGAAAAAAGGGTTAGGAAACTTGGTGAATTCATAAAACAAGATTTAAGTTTGTTAAAATAAAATGCATCAAGAAACTGTTGTAAAAAGGAAAAAAAAACAGTATTTTCCCCCAAACTACGACTTTCTACAATCAGCCATAACTCCTTCCCCTGCGTATGCTTTCCAAGTGAAACATTTATAATAAAATTAAAATGCCATATAACTGATAGATGGGCATTGTTATTTACAACTCAATTCAACTAGCAGTTATTGGGCATCTATGATGTGCCAAGTAACAGAAAAACACAGAAGAGCAAGCCATGGTCCCTACAGCCAAGGAACTCACAACCTACCAAAGGAGGAGGACACACAACATGGCAGCTTTACTGAAATTAAGAACCACATGGACACGTTCTTTTTACACATTTCCATTTGGATATCTCACAAGTAACAAAATGTAACATTTCCAAAACTGAATATATCATCTTATTCTTGAAAACTTGCTCTTCTTTATCTTACATTTTTGTCCAAATATTCAACTAAGAACCTCTAGGAGTCATCCTTGATTTCTCCCCTTTCCTTAATACCCCCAACTCCACTCCACAGTCAGCAAGAAAGATATGTAATTAATAAATAAAAGTGTTTGCTTTATAATAAAAGGAAAGTTGAGGTCTAAATGGTCAAAAAGGAAAGTCATCTAATTCTGCTGTGGGTAGTAAGAGGAGGCACTTCTCTACCAGAAGGGCCACCTAAGGATGGGCATGAACTAAATACCAAAAGGGGGCAGTAAACCATTCCACACAGAGGGAAAAGCATATTTAAGACCCAAAGTAATGCTGTGTCCAGGGAACTGAAAGAAGTGCCATATGGCAGAATTGTGAAAACACTTTGGGGTGGGGATGGGGTCTTCAAGTGGAGGGGAAAGCAGAGGCCAAGCCATGAAAAGCCTTAGATATTTTAAATACAACTCTAAATGTCTAGAATTAAGTGTACTAAAAAGCATTCAATGGTTTTAAGGAGGTGAGTTGCATATTTAGGTGTGTGTTTTGGAAAAATCATTCTAGCATTGTGTATATAGATAGCATAAGACTGAAAGTAGGGACTGATAAAACACTACAGTCAAAACCATCAAAACCGCATATGCTTCTCAAGTGCATATGGAGCATTCTCAAGGACAGACCACACACTGGTCCATAAGATAAGCCTCAATCATTTAAAAGGACTGAAATGAAACAAAGTACATTCTCTGACCACAATGGAATAAATCAGAAATCCATTAAAAAATGGAATTTGAGAAGTTAACAAATACATAGAAATGAAATAACATAATCAAAATAACCATTAGATCAAAATAGAAATCCACAAGGAAAATTAGAAAATACCCCGAGATGAATGAAAACGAAAACACAACACACCAGTATGGCCAGGATGCATGTAAGGCAGTGCATAGAGGAAAATGACTATATTTAAAAAATGAAAGATTTCAAATAAACAACCTAAACTTTCACCTTAAGAAAAATAATAAATCCAAAGTAAGTAGAAGAAAAGAATAATAAAAACTAGGCCAGAAATAAATGAAATAGAGAATAGAAAATAAAGAAAACATCAATGAAATAAAGTTGGTTAAGATTAACAAAATTGAAACTTTTAGCTGAAGTAATCAAGAATAACAGAGGGATGACTCAGGTTATTGAAATCAGGAATGAAGAAGGAGAAGTTATGCAGACTTTAAAGAACTAGAAAAGGACTGTAAGGGAATACTATGAAGAACTGTATGCCAACAAATTAGATATTAGATGACAGGAGACACGGACAAATTCCTAGAAAAACACAAACTATCAAAACTGACTTAAGGAGAAACAGAAAATATGTACAGATAGTAACAAGTAAAGAGACCAAATTAGTACAGTTGGCCCTCCATATGTGCGTGTTATGTTTATGATCTGCGGTTGGCTGAATCCACAGATGGGGACCCCAGGGATGGGAAGTACTGACCAAAGGATTTGAGCTTCTGTGGATTTTGGTATCCACAGAGGGTTCTGCAACCAATCCCCCTCAGACACTGAGGGACAACTGTACTCAAAAAATGAGCTGCAAAGAAAATCCAAGGCCCACGTGACCTCAATGGTGAATTCTACAACAATTAAAGAAGTACTCATGCTAATTTTTCACGAACCTCCAAAAAACTTAAAGAGAAGGAAACACTTCCTAACTCATGCTACGAAGCCAGTATTGCCCTATCCCAAAACCAAAGACATTACAAAAGAAAGCTACAGATGAATATCCCTGTGAATATAGATGCAAAAGCTCTCAAAAAAAGAAATATTAAGAAGACAAATCCTGGAGCATAAACAAAAAAGGGGGCATATACACAAGAACTGAGTAAAACTTACACCAAGATTGCAAGGTTGGTTTAACATCTGAAAATCAATTAATGTAATACCATAATAATAGAATAAAGGTCAAAAACCACGATTACTTTAATACACAGAGAAAAAATATTGGACAGAAGAATCCAGCACACTTTAATGATAGAAACACTCAGTAAAGTAGGAAAGCTCACAGCTAACATTGTATTTAATGGTAAAAACTGAAAGCGTCTTCCTAAGATCAGGAACAAGACAGGATGTCTACTCTCGCCACTTCCATCCAACTTTGTACTCTAGGTTCTAGCCGGACAATTACATAAGAAATAAATAGTATTCAGATTAGAAGGGAAGAACTAAAACAATCTCTAATCATTTATGGCATAATCCTGTACATAGAAAAACCATAAAGAACCCACAGAAAAATTAGTATAACCAATAAATGAGTTTAGCAAAGCTGCAGGATGCAAGATCAATATACAAAAATCAGTTGTATTTCTTTACGTGAGCAATGAACAATCCAAAAATGAAATTAGGAAAAAAATTCCATTTAGAGTACACTGAAAAGAATAACATACTTAGAAATAAATTTAAAAAAATAAGAGCAAGATTTGTACACTAAAAACTACAAAATATTGTTGAAAGAAATTTTTTAAAACATACATAAATGGAAAGATACTCAACGTTCATGAATAGGAGGATATAATATTGTTATGATGACAATAGTCCCCCAAAATTGACCTACAAATTCAAGGAAATCCCTATCAAAATTCCAGCTGATTTCTTTGCAGAAATGAATAAGTGTATCCTAAAATTTATATGGAAATCCAAAGGAACTAGTATAGCCAGAAAAATCTTAAAAAAGAAAAACAAAATTGGAGGACTGTTATCTTCCCATTTCAAAACTTCCTAAAAAGCTACAGTATTCCAGACTGTATGGTAATGGCTTAAAGGACAGCTATAAAAATCAATGAATAGAATTGAGAGCCCAGACATAAATTACAGCCAACTGATTTTTGAGTGGTCTCATTAACAAATGGTACTTCAACAACTGAATATCCACATCAAAAAAATAAAGTGGGACTCATACTTCTTAGCATACAAAAATATTTAATCAAAACGGATCAGAAATCTAAAAGTAGGAGTCAAAACTGTAAAACTGTTAGAAGAAAACATGAAAGTAAGTCTTTACGATCCTAAGTCATGTAATGATTTCTTAGATAACAAAAGCACAAATGAAAAAACAAATTGGACTAAATCAAAATTTAAAACTGTTATGCTACAAAATTACCATCAAGAAAGTGAAAATACGACTCACAAAATGGGAGAAAACTTTTTGAAATAATATATCTGATAAGCAAATTGTATCCAGAATATATGAAGAACACTTACAACTCAATAATAAAAGAACACATAACCTAATTTTTTAAAGAACAAAGGATCTGAATAGGCACTTCCCTTAAGAAGATATAAAATGGCCAATATGCCCATGAAAAGAAAACTAGTCATTAAGGACATGCAAATCAAAACCACAATGAAATTCCACTAACATACCCACAAGGGTGGCAATAATCAAAGATACAGCCAATATCAAATGTTGGTGATACTGTGGAGCTACTGGAACCCTCATACTTTGCTGGTGACAATGTAAAATTGGCCAGCCACTTTGGGAAACCATTTAGTAGCTCCTCAAAAATGTTAAACACAAAGTTACAACATGACCTGGCAAATCCTCTCCTAGGTAATACCCAAGGAAATGAAACATCCATCCGTGCAAAAACCTGTACACGAATGTTCACAGTGCAATATTCGTAGTAGCTCAACAGCAGAAATAACCCCCAAAAGTTCTCAACTAATGAACAGACAAATAAAATGTGGGATATTCATATAATGGAATAATATTCAGCAATAAACAGCAACTTGAATGAACCTTGAAAACAGTATGCTAAGTGAAAGAAGCCAGATAAAAATGTTTTATATAAAATGTCAAAAACAGGCAAATCTATAGAGACAGACTAGTGGTTGCAGAAGACTGAGAAGTGAGGGAGGGCAGGGAAGGAAACGGAGAGTGATCGCTAACGGGTATAGGGTTTCTTTGGGGATGATGAAAATCTTCTAAAATTGACCATGGTGATGGTTGCATAACTCTGTGTATATACAATAATTCAATGACCTGTATATCTTAAATGGGTGAGTTGTATGATATGTGAATTATATTTCCATAAAATCCATGTAAAAAGGTTGTCTAGGGAAGCAGAAGAATGGGGAGTGACTGTTGTCCATTATAAGGTTTATTTTGGGGGGTAATAAAAATAGTCTTAGACAATGGTGACAGTTGCAGAACTCTGTGATTAAACTAAAAATCACTGAACTGTATACTGTATATCGGTGAATTTTATGATATTTTACATATTAAAGGAAAAAACCACAGTGGAGGCAGAAATACAAGACGGAAGCTCTTAAAAAACTCCATTATGTGGTAAGGATGGCCTAGAATAGGGAAGGGGCAGGAAGGATGAGGAAAGGTAGATTTGGAGATATTTATAATGTTTAATTTTATTAGAAACAGTAATACACTGGATATGGAGAA